ACGCTCCCAATGCAGGGGGCGCAGGTTCCATCCCTGGTCAGGGAACTAAGATCCCACATGCGGGGGACTGGGGGTGGGCAAAAAAAACCCAAAAACGTTTATGCTAGAAAATGGCCAGCTATGGGCACACGGCTGAACATGGTCCCACTAGACTGCGTGCCCCTTGCAGACAGGAATTTGTCTCGGTCATAGGGGGACCTGGGGCATCCCCGCTGGTGAAGACGCCCACCTCCGCTACCTCCCGCACCTTCCCGCACCCCCGGGCGCAAGCCCCACCCAGGTAGGGAGGGACCTCTCTGCTCTCAAGGAAGCCAGAGCCAGGAAAGTAGGGCGGCCGGCAGGCATGGAAGGCGGTGCGCGCATGCGTGCGAGGCAGAGGCCCACCCCCTCCCCGAAGTACCCAGGCTGTGCGGAGAGGCGTCTGGGGCCTGCTGGAGGAAAAGCTGCCAGGTTTGTCCGGATCGTCAGGCAACACCGGGGACCCCACCCCCCACCCCGACCCAGCCAAGCTGCAGATACCCGAGCGCACCGCACCCCTCCCATCACACTCTGCTACTTTTCTGGTAACTATGCTGTGTTTCTTGTTTTACAAAAATATATGTAAAAGTACGCTGATTGGTGAGGGGACACGATAGAATGCTCACTCCAACACAGTTTGATAATATTTAGCACCCTCCAAATAAAAGACAAGAAAACAATCTAAATGCCCAAACAGAGGATGATTAAATAAATATGGTATATCTAGCAGGTAGAATAGTATGCAGCCTTCAAAAATGATGTTTTCAAATAATATTTAGTGACGTGGGGAAATGTTCACAATAAAATGTTGACAGAAAAATAATATCTGGCACACAGTAAGCTCTCAAAAAATGTTAGTAATTATTACAAAATGGTATGTTAATGAATAATACAATTTTAAATGAGTAAACTGTGTATGTATCTAATGCGAAAGAAAAATGAAACAAATTCCAACAGCAATTATCTCTGGGATATAAGATGATGAATGACTTTTTTGCTTTTTCCCTTTTTTGGTTATTTAAAAATTTGGTGCAATTAGTATAATTTTAGGCTGCAGAAGAAAAAGCGTCACGTTATATTAATTAAAAAAAAAACCCATGGTCCACTCTCTAGGGCAGGGGTCCCCCCAAAAATGCTGGGGACCGCTGCAGTAAAGGACAAAACAGAGTCTGTTTCTGCCCTCCTGGATTTCCATTTTAGTGAGGGAGTCACAATAAATGAGTAAATAAAACGATTACCAATTGTGGTAAGAACCACAATGGAAATAAGGGGCTGAAACAGAAAATTAGGGAGGAGGGCATCCAAATCTGAGCCTGGGTAGCCTCTCTTGGGGAGGAGGTACCAGTGGGAGTGTCTGCACACAGTTGGAACTATAAAATAGGAGGTCTCTCACTGAGGTACCCCTATGCCCTGGCTTCCAGCTCCTGCATGCCCCCGACTCCAAAGAGGCAGTCCCCTGGGGCGGTGGGTGGAGAAGGAGCCAGGACTAAGCAGGGAAGTGTGAGGGGCTGCACACCCAGACCCTTGAGGAGGGAGTGGGGAGCTGCCACAGAGACTCTAGGGGACCAGCCCAAGACATGTGAGAGGCAAAGCAGGGGCACTAACTCAGGCTGCAACCTGCAGCCTTGAGTGTGCAGACAGTTTTTGAAATTCGGATGTTGCCACTATGCACCCTGTGACCATGACAGAGTATGTATCCCATCTGTAAAATGGGATAATGGTACCTGGCACAGAGGGTTGTGGAGATGTTAGTACAGAATGATTTCTGGTACGTACTGAGCACTCAACACACGTTAGTGATAACAGCAATTATAATAACAACAGAACGTTTATGTACCAGACTTGGTCTGGGCCGTGGGGATCCTGCTGAAACAGGGAAAAGTCCCTGCTCTTGCGGAACTTTCATTTTAGCAGGGAAGATAAACAATAAACAGGTAAGCCAAAATAATGAGTCAGAATTGCAGAGGGTGATAGCTACAAAGATAAGGAATAAATTAGGAAGGAGTAGAAACAAGATATCCTGAGACAGAGAGCAGTCAGGGAGTGTTTCTCTGCCCTGAGACCTGAATGAGGGGAAACAGAGGAGGGAGACGAGCAAGCTTTCCAGGTAGAGGGTGCAGCTTGCGCAAAGGCCCTGTGACAGGAAAGAGCTTGGCGCGTTCACGGGAAAGAAAGCCAGTGTGACTGTCTGAGGCTGGTGGGGCTTTGGAGACCAGGGTGAGAAGGTTTCTTCTTGCTGCAATAGCACACAGCTGATGGGATTTTTTGAGGATTTGATTTTTAATGAGATTATTCTGTGTATTAAATGGACCGGAAGGGACAGGAAGAGAAGCAAAGAGACCTGTTGTGGTTTGATGGGGCCAGAGACCAGTTAGGAGACAGGTGATGGGGACCTGGGCTAAAGCTGCAGAAGCAGGGTAGTGAAAGATGGCTGAAGGGAGGATATATTTAGAGGTGAGGACTGTCAGAGCAAGCCGGCGATACAGGAAGTGACAGAAAGGGGGGAATCAGGGATGAGCCCCAGGGTTTTGATGCCAATTAAGCGCCGGTTACTAAGATGTAGAAGACAAGGAGCCAGTTGGGAGGAGACCAAGAATTCAGGTTTTCAGGTCACAATTCGGATTTTCAGGTCACATTTAAGGTGCCTATTTAACCTCCAAGAGCGGGGCGGGGGTGCTATCACAGCTGGATATATGAACCTGGGTCTCTGAGGGAAGTCAGGGTTGGGGCAGGTGTGGGAGTCCTGGACCCTCCCACGTGCAGAGAACAGGAGGAGGAAGGGACCCGGGGGCATAAGAAGATGCGGGGTGTGATGTCAGGAGCCCAGATAGAAGGTTTCAGGGAGGAGGGGAGTCGTCGGTCCAGCTCCTGAGAGGTCATGGGGATGGGGGTGAAGGCCCTGCCGGGGCGGTTGGAGGGGAACCAGAAGTGAGTAAGCAGAGCCGGCAAGGGCTGGGAGTGCTTTCAAGTTTTGCTGTAAAGTGGAGCAGAGAAACAGGGCATCTGGATGGGGGTCAAGGGACAGTATGCGTGTGTGAGATGATGGGCAGCATTAAGGAGATGCCTGGGGAGAAACGGAGAAGACAGAGGGAGCTATGGCCCGAGCAGGAGGGCAGAGTGGGATTCAGAGCCGGGTGGAGGGAGGTGGCGCAGCAGAGCAGGTCAGCTCCCTCTCAAGACAGGCAAGAGGGGTGGGCTGGGGGAGGGAGGACAGGAGATAACAGAAGTCCTCACACTGGGCCAGGCAGGACCTCAGTGATGGATTAGGGCTCACGTAGCTGTTACATGAGCCAAGTCAGGGCCAGGCAAGGGATGGACGCCTTGTGAGAGATTGGGGTATATTTCTCTATGCTGGTATCTTTCCTTCCTCCGATGGAGTGGAGGCCTTGTGATTCCATCAGAGGCGAAGCTTCTCAAAGGCTCTGGGTTCCCTCCCTCCAGCCAAGTGCACTGACCTTGGCTAAAGCCCTGGGCTCAGGGGGGCTGCATGGTGGCGCATCCCACGGGCAGGGCCCCTCCCCACCCAGCGCCCATGCTGTACCCACGCTGGGGTTGGGGGTAGGGCACCCGAGGCCACATGCTTGACCACAAGACAAAACCCAGGTTTCCAAAGAGAAGACCCAGGCTCAGGATGGGTAGCTGACCTGCCCGAGGCCACGCAGGATCCAGATCCGTGGGTTCTGAATGGTGGTCTTTCTTCTGAGACAGTTCAGGGCACTGGGGGCTTCGGGGTCGAGAAGGGGTGAGGGGTTGGCAGTGTCGCTCTCTGAGGTTTGAATCCATCTCTGGAAACTGCTGTGAGCTGTCCACCTCTCAGAGGCCTTCGCCCCCAAGCCCCCAGGCACTTCCAACCCAGCCGCACCCCCTCCTAGGATCCTAGCTGAGGGGAGGAAAAGGTACACTGAGGTGAGTGGGCCATGGCCTTTTAAGGTGTGTTGAAACTTAAGAGAAAGGGAGCTTTGGGCTGATGCCAGGAGACTGTCCAAGGGGAGCCCCCGTGCCCCTTGCACGTGACTTCCCCGCGTCCCCATCTCCAACATACAGTTTCTTCCCCTCACTGCAGCCCCTCCTCCAACACCCACATCCCCCAGGAATTACACCCAGCGCCCCTGCCTGCACCTCTGGCCCTGCTACTTATGGCTTTGGCTCCCCCAAACAGCCAGCGCCCCCAGGCAGCCTCTTCTCTCCCTCCTTCCTCTATTCCACCCCAGATCCACTGAGTCAAACATGGTGAGCCCAGGGAAGGTTCTCTTGAACCAGCCAGCCCGGGTCTGGTGGTGTGTGGCATCTCCTCCCCGCCTGGGGCCGACCCACCTGGGCAGTCAACCCTGTCACTCCCCATCTATCTTGACTCCTGCCCAGCCCTGACCCTTCCCTGTCTTTCCCAACCCCTCTACCATCAAGTGACACCTCATTTAAACCCAGGAACTTCACAGGATGGTTTTTATTAATGAAATGGCCCTAGCAGCTCCCTCCCATAAGCTCTAGCCAGACCTCCCACCCTCAGCTCTGACGACGCTGGGGTGCTCAGCCTTGGCTCTCAGAGCCAAAGGACACCGAAGATACCCTCCCATTTCTCCTTAGACTTGGAGCTAGAGTCTCAGGGATTCAGTCCGAATTCCACCCCCCACCATGCTTCCTCCAGGCCGGCACTCCAGGTGAGCTAATTTTCAAAACTTAAGTGACCAAATAGCGTTGCTTCCACCTCTGGCTTCTCGCTACAGATTTTTAGCTTCTCACACACACAAAGTGTCTTGAGTCTTTACTTTCCCACTGAGATTAACACATTTCTGAACTGGTCAAACTAAAGACTACATTTGTTTCTTTCTGAACTGAGAGTCTCAGAGCTGAAGATACACTGTTGGCTGACCTTTGGGAGGAGATCAGGCGAACATGTCAGGAGCCAACCAAAATGTTCATCTACTTTGCCCCAGTAAGTCTCATTTCTGGTAATGTTATCTTAAAGAAAAAAATACAAAATATAGGGGGGAAAAGCCAACACATAAAGATATTTATTGCAGCTCTATTTATAGCTAAAATAAAATGCATATATATATATATATATAAACAAACATCCAACAAGAAAATGCCATGCAGCCATTTTTTAAAAAAGAATTCTACATCAACATTGAAAAATATTGAGAAAAAAGTAGGATAACAGTTAAATATACATTTACAATTTTGTAAAGAAAATAAAAAGTGCCCATGAAAAAAAAGCCTGTTATTTTCCCCTTTTTCTCAAATTTCCCCCTTATAATTTCTTTCAAAGCTGCCAGCAAAGTGGTGCAGTCCTAAACCTCCCCCGAAATCTGCTGTAGGAAAGAAACCTTGAATAATCCTCCCTGAAGACAAGAAATCATTGGCGGGATCTGCTTGGCACTTAGGAAATGGAAATGCAGCATGGAATGCCAGGGGTCTTAGAGAGGAGATGTGATGGGAAAAGCCCAGTTCTTCTATGTGTTCAGATCAGTCTCTTAGATGGGACAACAGGGAACTAGTAACTGCCAGGCAAAGAGTCACGAGGACAAAGGGGACATCATGTGTGAACGGGCTCTTCCAACCACAAGGCACCGTCCACTTGCAAGATAGTGCTGAGGAGGGGTGGGTCAGCCAGAATGACCCAGACTTGGGGTCTCAAGGAAGGTCAGCAGGAGCCCCAGTGGCTGTCCAGCGCCTCTTAACTGACCAGGGCAGCCCTCGGACTGCTGGCCAGTAGTGAAAAAGGATCTTCTTATGCTGAGCTGAAAGAGACCGACTTCGGCCGACTGGCCCCACTTCCGCCTGCCACGTGGAACTGCCCCAAATCATCCCAGCCCCTTGGGCTCTCCCTGTCATTGTCTGCACCATTCTCTAAATTCTCCCATTTTTGGGGCCAAACACCTGTGTCTCCCAGGGTCCCTTGCACAGTCTAGACTGTCCACCACCCGGCTGCTCTCCTCCGGATGCCCTTGTGTTTTGGAGAAACCCCACACAGAGAGGAACGGTGCCCGTAACCAAAGCCCTCTAGCTTGTCTGACACAGGCACAAGGCCCACTCCTCTCCCGGCTCTAGTCTGAAAATTTCTATAGCTCAGCCTTGGACAGAATCTGCTCTTCCTGCAACCTTGCTTCACTCTAACTTATCTTTGAGCTTCCTGTCAACCAAACCACCCTTTTTTTGCACCCAGTTTACAGTCCCTATTGAATGTTCATGCAGGTGATGTTTTTAAAGGGAGGAACTGCACTGTCTAGACCCAGTGCTAGGACCTCCCGGTTTGGGCACTTAACCCCTCTGAAGAAGGTTGCCAACAGTCATGTCAGGGGAAAGGAGACGCAAGACAAAAGGACATTATTACGGTGCTTTTTCCGTTTTTCTTTTTTGCACAAAAACAGTCCATTTATTCAAGTGTTCTCCAGCACAAGTACATTAGAAAGGAGCTTTATTATATGCTTCTGGGCACAAAAAAAAAACAAAAAAAAAAAAAACAAAAAAAAAAAAAAAAAAAAAAACGTGATGAAGGCGGAACTGACAGACTTTCTACATCTGCTGTACGCACTGACCTCTTTATAATTATTTCATAACAGCTATGTCACGAGCATCACTTACACAGAGATACAACAGAACACCAGGGCATGGGGGTGGGGACCCGTGCAGGGCCCTTTCACACTTGCCCCTCCCCGATGTCCCAGAACCAGACTGTGAAATGTACATTATTATTGTCAATAAATAGAGAAGCAACCCTAAAAAAAATACAGTGGTGAAAGGATGCTGGAACCAGGGAGAAAAAAAAAAACAACAACAACAAAGAGTCAGAAGAGGAACTGAAGAGAAAGGAAAGAGGGCTGGGAAGGGAAGGGTCTGGGGAGTTAAGTCCTGCATTTAGCTGCGTGGAATGTGCAGTAAAAGTGCTCTCCCGCCGGGGTCAAAGCGAAATCGTCTGTAACAGTAAAAGTTATTACCAAATCAGCTACGGAGTTTATTCTTCAGTATGAATACATGATTTCCCACAAATAAGTAAGCACCCGCTACTTCAATGCCTCAGCTAAAACACATGAAATCGCTCATTTAGTTTTCAAGTACAAAGTTAAAATGCCTTTTTAATAATAATATATCAGAGTAAAATAATAGTCTCTTTTAAACTCCACTACAAGAAAACAAAACAAACAGTCATTGTCCAGACAGCAGACTTAATTTAACAATATATATTTTTAATAAAATGTTTTAGCACCTTGTTGAGTCACCTCCTCCCTCTGCGTATTCTAAGGAATTTCGGCATTTTTGTGGTTGGTTGGGTTCTAGGGCTGTGCAACCAGATCAGTCTGTGAAGTGAAATGGGACTCAGGTGATGCTTTCGGATCCCTGCTCATGTCCTCAGGCCCAGGGCTGGAGGCCGTGAGACTAGAGGCTGAGAAAGCCGCCCTCCCATGCCCCTGCGGGGCGTTTTCCAGTTACTGGAGTTACAGGAATCTGCGGGCCTCCGTTCGGGCGATTTGGCCAGCCACGACTAGCTAAGGACCTTCCACCCTTGCCCTCACTGCTTCTGACCTGCTTGTTTCTCCCCCTCCCCAGGCTCCACTGCTGAGGATCAGCTTGATAAACAACCCAAGGCCCACTCAGCCGGGTCTCTGGAACACACCGGTGCAAGAGGGGCTGCTCTCGCTTCCTGAAGACCCCAGCCTTCCTTTACCAAAACGTAAAGACTCGAGAGCTTCTGCTAGAACAGTGGAGTCCATCCTTGATAGAAATCTATTCTCTTTCCTCTTAGATCCTCCAAACACTTGTGGTTAATCCCTGCCTCAGCAAGGAATGGCCGGGAGAGCCATTCCAGCTCCACGCCAGCCCTCCAGAGGTGGAGGAAAGAGGGCAGGACAACTCCAGTGTCATCTCTAATCACAAGCGCTGGGAGGGGCCAGACTAGACCACGCCCGATGACAAATTCAGATTCCTCATCTCCTGCGATCAAAACGGGGCCTGGCTAGAAACCCAGTTCTCACCAGCATCTTGGCTCTGCTGCTACCCTGACCACAGGCAACGACCAGCCCTCATCAGATCACAGTGCGAGGCAGGACCCACGGCCCTAACCCTGCAAGTTTCCTGAAAACGACACCTCTGAAAAATACCAGTGCCACAGCCTCTCTGCCCCAAGCAGAACAGCGACAGGAATTCAAAAGCGCCTCCAAGATCCACTTTATGTGTAATGATGTCATCAGAGAGATGAAGGCTAAGAACACTCCCCAGGTGGCTCTGCTGAAATAGTTCCTTCCCTTGCTCCTGTTACAGACCTTCCTGTGCTGGAGACCGTGGGCTATTCCCATCTAATTCCCATCCCATCAATTCAGGCTTCCCCAGAATTGCCAGCTATGCAGGAAGTAAGGGGAGCCGGCCCTCATTAGACCAGTTCGATGTCCACCACCAGCCTTTCTTCCTGCTGGGTCTGCCTGTCCCAATCTGCACTCTAGCGACTCACCAAAAACCCACAGGCATCTTCGCCAGCCGCCACTCCCAGGCCCGTCTCAAAAGCAAAGCGGTCCTGCGTGCTCTTTTGGGAAGTTTGCTTTCTAGAATGTTCAATAGCAGGAAGGTTCTGGGGTCTAGAAAGAAAAACAGACAGTGGCACACCTGGGTTGCCATCACTGACTGCAGGACCCCACGGGTCCTGTGCTCCTCGGTCAGCTCCCGGGAAAGGCAGGCAGCACCAGCCAGCTTGAGGCCCACGGCGCTCAGCGGCGCCGGCTGGAGACGAGCTTCCTCCTCGGGCAAGCGACCCAGGGCCCTGTGCCCTGCCGAGCCCCAGCTACCTACCCCCGGCAAGAGGCACAGGTCCCTCTGGCACCTGCAGCAAGTAGGGGGCATCATCCTCGGCCCTAGAAACCCTCGTTTCCAGGAACTTGTAAATTGGCCTCTGCTCTTCAGAAAGAAAACCCCACTGGGAACACACTCCAGAATTTTCCCTAGGCCTTCGTGGTTTCTCCCGCTGCACTGCCTCTACCCTGAGCCTCACGCACAGCAAGTGCCACGACCCCCACCTGCATCCCCGCGCGACCTCACCTCAGCCTGTCCAAGCACAGCTCCCCTTTAGAAGGGGACCTGATCACTGCCCCCAGGAGCACCCCCAGAGTTGGACAGCACCCCGGTGTGGCCAAGTTGGCACATCCCCAAGGTCCCCTGCACCCTACCAAGCTCTACTATGGGACCAAGCCCACGGGTGTGGCTGGAAGAAAAGCTGGTGATCGTTAAACTCTCATCCCTTCGAGGGTGCATCTGGCCCCTTCTGGGGCCTAGTCAGGTGGCCAGACTGCGCAAAACAGGTCATCAGCCACAGCAAGCAAGCTGGCCGGCCCGCGCCGAGCCCTCAGGCTCACCACATCCTTGGCTACCGAGTTGCTTCCCCACACCAAGCCCCTGGGTGGAGCTTGGGCCACTGGGAAAAGCAAACTCCTGCACACAAGCAGTGGACAAAAGGCCTCGGAGAGCCAGGAAGTCTGTCTGCAGAGGAAAAGACTCTGCCCTGACACTGGGGCTGGGAAGACCTTAGCTTTGGCCGCCAGGGGAGGGAGCACCTTGGACTGCCTGCGGCAGCCCTCCTCCCCCAGCCCTCCGGAGCAGTGCTGGTGGGCTCTGGGCCGGGAAGATGGAGCCTGGCTGGAGGGGGTGGGGTGAGCACCACAGTTCGGTACAGACTCCAACGAGGGAAGGGCCGAGGGCTTCCCCCACAGCTGCTCCAGCCCCGTGGGAGCCCACCATCACCACCTGGCATCACGGCACAGAGCTGGCAGGAAGCAACTGGGTATCATCTTAAAAACCAATCTGACAAGGAAATGAGTAGCCTGGGGTGCGGCACTAAGCACCCCTAAAAGGAGTGGGAGACCGCGGCCACCAGCTGTGAGCTTACTCCTGAGCAATGAGCACGGGATTCAAAGCCTGGTTTAGTTTTGTCACCAATTACTAATTTGCTTTATTCAAAAGATGAGGTTCACTGTCCCATTTTTTTCCAATGGAAGCCCCCTGGCCAAGACAGCCCTGGACATCAGTTTCGTTTTGGTCGGGGGAGAATAGGTAGGGGGAGTTGAGGGCTGACTGGACTGGTGCCTAGGGTTGCAGGTCAGTGTCACAGGTTGCTAACAGAAGAGTCTTTTGACATCACCAGGGGCAAAAGAGATAGAACGCTACCTGCTAGAGGAGAGCACCTGCTGAAAGAAAACCTCCTCCTTTTCCTGCCCTCAGCACCTAGCAACTTCTGGGATTGACAGTCTACCTGCAATTAGGGCAACAGAGGTAAAGAGCTGCAGCGCCGACTCTGCAAAGTCCTGAATCCTGGGGAGAAGAGCGCTGGGAGCTCCCTGGCTCTGTGTGTGTGTGTGTGTGTGTGTGTGTGGTCTGTGTGTGTGTGTGTGTGTGTGGTGTGTGTGTGTGTGTGTGGTGTGTGTGTGTGTGTGTGTGTGTGGTGTGTGTGTGTGTGTGTGTGTGCGTGCGTGTGGGATTGACTGGTGTGGGGCCTGTCTGCAGTGGGGCCCGAGACTCAGCATTCTGAGCCTCCTTCCCCCGCTCCCCACTACAAAATATTTCTTATACGTGACCCTATCTATGTATTTATATAGCGCCTATCACCGTAGGCCCTATCTTTCTAGGGATGCGAACGTGGGACCATGTGCTTGGCAGCACACCTCCCAGCCCTGCCAGTCCCAGGAGGTGCCATTCCCCCCTCCCATTATAAAATATATATCTCTATATGCCACATTATCTACACCCCATCTACCCAGGCAGGCATCTGCCTATTGGGCCCTCACCCTGGAGCCACACATGCCGTCCCTGCCTACAGCCAACACCAGGCTGCCTGCCTCGCCGGGAAGCGGAACCAAGTGTCGTGCACTTGGGGCTCCAGGTGCTGCTGACTCGAGGTAAGAGCACAGCTATCATCAGACCGAGTACTAGAAAAGAAATACACACCACTCCAATCACACACGCGAGGAGAGAGATGCCTGGTCCTCCCTCCAGCCCTGACACACGTGACTCGAGAGGAGGGAAGCAGAAGAGAAGAGGGACGCGCCCGGAAGGCCGGCCTCGGGGACCCCCTGGCCGACGCCCAGCTGTCGCAGCGCCCGGTGGCCCACCTGGCCCGAGGGGTGGGGAGCCAGGGCACCAGGGCCACCACTGACTTAGAAGCACCCTGCTCCCCGCACCTTGGTTTGAAACCTAAAGGGAGGGGGGGTTGGGTTTTTGTTTTCTTAAAGAAAATCTGAAAACAAACATAATTATAACCAGAACCATAAGAATAATTATAACAGAAGGTGCCATCAGCCTCCCAGTATAAACGCAGCCTTTGGAGATGACCAAAAACATCACATTCCAGGGGCCGGAAGCCGCCCTGTGCGCAGAGGGTGGATGGTGGGGGCCTCATAAAAGAACACACAAAAAGCGACTTAGACAGGAAAGCACCAGTACGTTTTGTATGTTTTTTTATTTGCTCCAGGTGGGGTCTGAACTGTCACTTGCCCGCACTCTGGATTTTTTCTGACCCCACCGCAAGGAGCCCTCGAATCGGCTAATGTGAGAAATTGGGAATGAAGACCCCTCATCCTGCCATCTTGCCGAGGGAGTCTCCTTTTCGAAAAAAATCAAAAGGTTATCTCATGAGCCTGGATGGATCCCACTCTCAGCTTTCCACGGTCCTGACCACTGAATTTCACCCCCTTTTTTGGCAGGGAGAAACGGGAGAATGCTGTTCCCAAATTCTCCTCCTTCACCTTGTTAAACACCAAGGGGAAATTAAAAAACCCCACCACGGTTAACGGTTCACCTCCAAGCTGTCTCCCTTTCTCCATCCTTGGTTAAAACCCTTTGCACATAAGGCAACGTGGAAGCTGATGTTTTTACTCATCTCGCTGTTGTAAAGCACCATTATGAAGTCGGGTTGTACAGTAGTTAACAGTACCTTTTATATATATATCTCATATCTATCATATATATATAAACTGTAAACAAGAGGTAACAGCGGCTTCTAGAAACTGATTTTCTTCAAGGTTTCCTGTGTGGTAGGCACCTGAATACTGTATAAAAGGGTCTTGTGTGGTGTTCTCGTCTCTCTGCTGCTAGTTGGGTTGTGTTTTGCATGACCAGGAATGGTGCTGGCAAGACAGCTCAGTGGCTGGGAGGGAACTCTGCCGCCTGAGTGTCTATTTTCTGTCCTCTGCTTGTGCTCCTATCTGATCAGGCTAGAGACAACAACAAAAAAAAAGATACATAGTAAAAAAAAACAAAACAAAAACAAAAAAAAACAAAAAAAAAACAAAAAAAACCCCCAATATATAGATTTCTATAGAATTTCCTTCTTTCCTTCACTCCCGTCTTTCCTCTGCAAGGTATGTTACTATTTTTTGTTACTGATTTTTTTTTTTTTGCTGCAATAAACCCTCTTGTTTCAGTCACAGCAAGAAACAAAAACCCAAACAAACAGAAAACCCCTCTGAAAAGAGTAGAAAACAAAAGGTTTGACCGAAAAAAAGGGGGTGGGAGGGTGGGGAGGGAGCTTGGTTTTGTTTTTAAATAGGACTGAAGATTAACATTGAAAAATTCAGGAGATGATGTCCAACCCTTTTTACAAGGCAAAGCCTTCCGGTATTTCTGCCTCTGTGGGGTTTTTTGTTTTAAATTCCTTTTCCTCTTCTGGGTGCTGATACTTCTCTCCATCCTCATGTTCTTGGTATTTTGTTGTGTTTTGTGTTTTTTGTTTGTTTGTTTAAACCTTGTTTCACTACCTCGGTTTGCCCTCACGTCCCTTACACACAAGCAAAATATTCCTTCAGCGGAGCGAAGAGGTGGCGGATGACGGGCACGCTCCACGACCGGCCCAGCAGTCTCTGCCTCGCCAAGCGGCTCATGTTGGAGACGTCGGTATAGTGGACAGGGAAGCCAAACACCCTGGGGAGAAAAGGCAGACAGGGCAGGAGTCAGCGCCAGCCTGGGCAATTCTGTGTCCTTAATAACCTGTTCGAGACTCAGGCGCCCGGCTACTCTCTGTGGGTCTGAAGGTATGTTAAGATGATCACTGCCTAGAGATTTCCCACACAGTAGAAACAGAGTTAGCGTTTGTGAGAAACACCTCCAGGACACGCTCCACCTGAAATTCAGACCCACAGTGGGTATCTCAACTCTGTATGTAATAAAAATACATCCCTGGTATCTTCCCCCGCAGAGAACGGAAGACTCTGCAAGGGGGCCAAACCCTTGCCTGATGTCAGGAGTTCCTGCTTGCTCTGGCTGTCTGTGTAAATGGTCTTTTTGTCTGGCTAAATGGCAGTTACCCCAAGAATGAGGAATCTAGCCCAGGTCCAATCTGTGCCAAAGCAGGGTGCTGAGGCTTTAAGGCCCACCTGGTCCCACACTGTCCTGGTCTGCAAAGCACATAACATCAGCAAGTGTGACGTAGGGAAGCTCCTGCAGCCGCAGTGCTTCCTTGGAGCTCAGAAGGACCGCTGGGAGCCAAGGCATCGGGGGTTGATTCCTAGACGCCCCCCTTACTTTAAACCAGCCTTACAACGCACAGGAGTCCTCCCCCAGGAATCTGCCATGTTGGGAAATGCTTGGGAAAACCCACTGCTCACGGGGTATCCGCAGGGGATCCGAGCCTGGTGCAGAGGCGGAGATCCCTCCCACCCGCTCCTGCCCGACACCAGCGTGAGTGGGTACCTTTCCATTTCAGTGCACCATAAGATGTCCTCTTTCTCATTCATGAAGACGGGGAAATGCTGGTCTTTGCCCTGCTTTATGGAGTTCGACCTAGTAGTAATGGTCCTCACTTTGCTGAACTGGAAGACGAGGAGGGGAAAAGAGAAATGCGTGCTCATCTGCTCCTGCCAGGCACCTGCCAAGGACTGGTGCGTCCAAAGGTGACAAGGCCTGGTCCATCCAGGGGCCGGGGTCAGGCTCCAGTCGTGAGCCTCCACAGACCCCACTGCCCTGCTTTTCTTCCTACACTGAGGTCACCCGGCCATCCTCAGTCCAATCCCACTGGCCAAGGGCTTGACAGACAGCAGCTTGAGCCACTGTCCTTCGTAAGTCTCCTAAGAATTGTTTTTTCCCAGGGGTAGTGACTTACAGGCAAAAGGATGCCAAATTACTCAGGGGCGCAAAGATACCCCTGGGGTGCCAGCAGTCCCAGGAGTTTTCTCCAGAGAGAAAGGGAGCTTCCACATCACAGGAGAAGCTCTGCTCTGAAGGCTCGTGCAATAGGTCCTGGCTCAATCATTCAAAAGCCGTAGCAGACGCAGGGACCTTGGCAAAGACGTCTTAGTGTCTGCCTCCCACAGGAGCAGCGGGCGAGCTCAGCACGGAAGGGCTGCAGGCAGCAAGGATTCCTGACCTCTCCCCCAGCCCTCCAGGCTTCCCCCCCCACACACACCCCCGCCCGACCCTCCGGCTCTGGCCAACTGCATGCACAACCCCCTCAGTCGCATCCTCTGCAGGCGGGACACACAGCCCTGGTGCTGTTCCAGCCCATCCTGCCCTTCTCCTTACCCCCAGCAGAGGGCTTTGATGCTGGGGCTAACCTTGGCTATTCTGCCGTGCTCCAGACACTCCTGCAGCTCCAGCTTATCATTCACAGTGGATGCCAACGGCCTAGAAGGCAGAAGAGAGGGAGTAACAACAGAGACCAGGACGATGGCAGGGATGCACCCAGGGCCCTGACCCAGCAGTCATCTGACTCACATGGGGAAAGTAAAGAGGACCCCGTCACCCACGTGCGTCGTAACCCCCTTCAAACTCCCCAAAACACATGCGACATACACTGCAGCCACTCACAGACACAAGTCCCCCAAGCATTAATCCTTAAAGGTAAATTCAAAAGTGGTCTCAAACTACAAATGAACAGACAACGCCTGCCCAGACGGGGAAAAGCCCAATTATTTTTAAACCTGTTACTTAAAAATAGACTGAGTCTTAAAAGTACCCATCACAAAGCAAGCTTTGGCATGACAGAATGTCCTGTATTTCGACTACGGTGATGGTTACATGGGTCTGTACACTGGATGAAATTCATCAAACTGTACACCTGAAATGTACCGTTAGTTAACTAGACAAATTCTGCACAGTCCCCAGAAGACTAAAATTTTGTGACACGGAACGTGTCACTTCTCAGAAGGCAGACCAGATCACTAGATATCACCTTCGCTGCTGGCCTTTTCTGACATTTAGGATTACTTAATAAAGGTTTCACAGAGCGGTCCACCATCTCTGCATGGGAATCACCCCAGGACCCATGGTCAAATCGCGCCTCCAGACTCCTCCCTGTTTATGCGCATATACACTCTACTTGGTCCCTCGCGGTACCTCTGCTCCTCCTGGAAGCTCAGAGTTCTAGAATTTTAGAGTTGGAAGAAGCATGTAAGAACAATCCCCCCAAGGGCTGTCAGGGTACACTGAGTTACTGGCTCCATAAAAATACTGGACTACATAAGCCAGTCCATTTTTCCAATACGCACAGACATCCATCCTGGGAACATTAGGGAGACACTGAGACAGTTTTCAGGTCAGCTGCCCACTGACCCATCTCCTTCCCAGCCAACAAGCCCTCGCAAAAGACGGCAGCTTTGCCAAACAGGTATGAGGCCGGGGAAGTTCCTAAAACTTCATGCTATTGGCAGAGAGGCAGATTAGATGACTGAGGCCAGGTTAAATGATGTTCCCAATTTGTAGGTGTACCAAGGAGGCTTAAAATCCACACTCAAAACATGGTGCAAAATATTTCTTTCCAATATCTAGATTGGGTGGATCTCCCTCTGCTTTTGAACCACTAACTCTCAACCAGAATTCCTTTCTTCACATACGCCTTTTTATAGTACGATTATTACGCTGAGGAAATGAAATTTTCTTCATTCCTGGACATTAAAATCTCTGTGTAACCTAAACGAAGAGCATCCTTCCAAAAAAGGACTTGAAGCCAACAAAGTGTGTGGATAATAAGTGGAGCAGGGCCCTCTAAGCTGCAAGGTGCCTGCTGCTTCGAGATTCTCTCTCCTGGAGCCCGATGTGGCCCAGCTGTGGGCACCACTCTCTTTCCCATCCCCAAACACATCCTCCACAGCTTTACCTCAGGGGACTAGGGACCAGCTGACTCTAGACACATCACCAACGTAGGAGAACCAACCATATAACTCAGCAGCACGATGAGTCCTCTTCTGTGTCAAGAGTGTGCTTTTTAAAGGTCCCATTTGGGACCACTAGTCCTTGGTTTCTCAGGCAAGTATTTTCTACACCTGACTCCCCTTCTTCCTCAAGGAAAAGGAAACAAAGAAGAACACGGCAGAGCAGCAAGCTGGTCAGCAGGGGAGGCTGGCCCCCTCCTCGGGGCGTCATCCTGCCTGCAGACACCCACCCGCGGCCACCTGGGCACGGAGCTCTCACCAACCTGTTCATACCGGGAAGGTTCCCCCAGAAGTAGCGGGCCCTGTGTGCAGCTGACACTTCTTTGGCATCAATCATCACAGGGTTGGACTATAAAACAGGACAGAGGTTAAAGATGAGTGAGAGAGAAATGTGAGAGTGCCAGGAAATTGGCTAGTTTAGAGCCTCAAAGGCTCTTACTTCTCTCTCGAGAGGCCACACTGGGAGAGCCTGAAGGCCCCAGGAAAAGCTGGAATTAAACCCAGCTACGTTCCACATGCTCCCACTGGAACAGTCTAGACCCGCACAGTCCACACTGCGATGATGGAAATGTTCTATCTGCACTGTTCCATGTAGTGGCCACTAGCCCACCAGCTGCAGATGGCGGAGTACTTGAGAGGAGGCTGGTGTGACTGAGGAATTTTAATGTCAATTTAAATACCACACATGGCAGATGCCCACCACACTGGACCACACAGCTCCAGCTCACCCGGAGGCTTTGAGAAAGAAAGTTCCAACGAGTGTGGATGTGTTCGCTGTAGTACGTCCACATTATGAGCCAGACACACCAGCTTGAGGCGTTTGCCCCCAAGACCCGGGAGCACAGGCTCGGGCTCCCAGACTGCCCGCCCCAAGAAGGACTCTGGCTGCAGAAACCCTCTGTGCACAGCCCAAACCAGGCTCAGCCAAGTTGGGACCCACAAAATGGGAAATAGAAACTGAGATAAGCTGTGTTTTCTTCCCAGGTGCCATAAAGCATCCGTCACGGTGCCAGGGAGCGAGGACAAGCGATTCTGGTTGGGAAAATTGCTTCTGGTATCTCAAAGGTTCCCCCAGGGAAACGCCACACAGACCCCCAAGCCCAGGAGTCTGACACTCCACCCTGTTTACAACAGTCAGGTCCTCCAAGTGCTGAGGCCCACACCCACATACCACCTCTTACAGTGAGGCCGCGGGTTCTGTCCAAGCTGTGCTTCCTCCCTGTCTACTTGGGAAGCCCAGAGCTTCCCAAACGGGCCCCTTGCGAAGCGGAAGTCACCAGTCCCCAGCTCCACAATGCAGATGAGACAGGGGTAAAGCAGCAGTCCAAGGTAGAAGCCATTAGTGAGCTGACCAAACCAAGGGTGCTGGCTATACCTCGAGAAATCGCGAGATGTCCCTCTTGTCACTAACGCCCATGGCCACCACATTCTCAAAGAGCCAGAAGAAGGGGCGATCATCTCCCTCCTTGGGCCGCGCATCATGCAGGAGGCGGTAGAACTCAAAGAAGAGCCGGCCAGTGCCCTCTGAGAGGTCGGAAGAGAAAGCCATCAGCTGGGGCTGTCTGCAGGAGACAGTGGTGTGGCCCGGGCACGGGGAGGGCAGGGGAGGACAGGGTCGTTGGGAGTAGCCGTCCCAGGGCAGAAATATCCAAGTAGGAAAGAGACGTGCGAAAGCACCAGCTCAGAAGGCGGAGGGGTGAGTGCAGCACCTACCGTAGAGTCCCTTGCGGGCAGGGTTGACGATGGAGAGATCATTGCAGGGACTGCCCCCAATCACCAGATCGAACGGGCCCCACTCCTGGATCTGGGAGGATAAAGGTAATGTGATGGGCCTGATGTCCGGGGACAGAGGCAGAAAGGGAGAGAGAAAGGATCTGTGAATTTGGCAAAAAAAGTACTTTGGCATGGGAGAGAAGAGACCCGGCTGCTTTGAATGCTCTCTACATACACACGTACATTCATATACACACACGCGCGCGCACACACAGTGCAGCCATGGGCAAGTCACTGAGGCTCTCTGGGCTGTTTCCTAAATAATAAAGGGAAAGGACTGAACTGGACCATCTCTGAGGCCAGTGGGGAAACCAGTGTGCCCCCAGCAGGAAAAGCAGCCACTCAGGGGGGACAGCGGTCCAGGCTGGGCAGCTGAATGAAAGGTACTCTGTGCTCTGCGCACCTTGGGCAGGTGTCTGGACCATCTGAACCCCTCCATATGCCCTTCAGGATGCCTGAGGGCCTGTAGTTCGAGGTCGACATGGATAACTGGAAAAGCAAGGGGCCACTCAGGCAGGATCCCGCCAGATCCCCCCCTCCCCAAAATGGAGGCTGGCGAACCTTTCGCCAGCAGTACTGGGAGGATGGGAACCTCACTGCAACCCACAGCGCTCCACTCAAGAGGGCCAGGAAACCAGCCAGGCCCAAGAAGCCTGGCCCCCAATTCCCACTGGAATCTGCCCCGATCCTCTAGAGACAAGGAAGGAAATGGAAGAGAAGGAGGGAGAGAGTTCAACAGGGGAGGGGGGAGAAAGGAAAAGAGCAAATGGACAAAATGAGAGGAGCTGGCGCTGTCCCCGGAGCTAAGTGACGTAGAGAAGGTGGGCGGGGCCGTGGCGGCACTGACATACATGCTTCTGCGTGACGCTGCGGACGTCCCCGACGTACATGATCTTCCCCTGGTGCCGCACCATGCCCACCGTGATGGAGTCCTCGCACACCTCGGAAGCGATGTAGCGATCCACCTGAATGCCCAAGTCCTTCAGCACCAGAAGCCCTGTGCCAGCCAGCAAAACGCACCGTCACTGGGTCACCTCCCTGGCACCCCAGTCTTTGCAGGGGGTCCCTCGGGCCAGCCGGACACATGGGTCAAAGGCAGGCCCAAGCCCTGCCCTGCCCTGAAAGCCGCAGGAGACTTCTGGATCAAACTGGAGTATCAATAACAAGGACATCAAACAGGCTGTTACTTCGAGGCTCTTTCACGCCTAATTTGATCTACTCAGGAAATAGTCAAGACAGGACAGCAAGGGGTTTCGGGAAGCAGGGACAACAACAGGTGACTTCTGGGTGGGCTTTGCTGTTTCTGTATCTTGCATATACTGGTCCTTCCTCAGCCCTTCTATCACCTCCTGCTGCAAAATTCAACCATCCGTCAAGACTCAAGGTAAATGCCACCCACTCTAGAAGGGTTTCACTGATGCCCACCCCAGCCTACAGCCCCCGGGATGGCCTCCCCACTCCGTAAGGCCCAGCACCTTCTGAGGTGGCACATCCTCCACCTCAGAGCAGCTCGCACGCCTGAGCCAGCCCTTCTCTTGGGTTGCAAATGTCTTCACGACAGAGTGGGCGGTCTCAGTCAGCGTGTTTCCTCCTGAACTGACTACTCACACTTCCTGACCACGGCCCCTCCCCAAAGGCTTGCTGAATTGAGGCAAGGAAACAGAACAGACCCTGTGTCAGGAGACACAGCACCATTCCCACTGCTCCCAAAAGACCTCCCCACAAGGAGCCTGCACGGCCTCTTGGAGTGTGACGTGGCTTAAGAAGCCTTCAAGGTCCTAGCCTGGGAAACCAAAGCTGTACATTAACTCCTTTAGGTTCACATGACATCAGCACTGAGCTGGGAACAGAAGACAGACATCTGGCCCAGGTGCCTTCCCCACCCTCTGGCCAAGGTCTCCGGGCCCAGCCTGCCCATCTATCTCCCTTTGGTCCCATGAAGACAAGTTCTAAGGAGGACTATTTGTTTCCTAAGGACTGAAAAGCCTCAGCCTTGGGGCAGGGCTGAGGGGTGTATATGAGTATTCACGTCAAGAACCACATGAAATTAAAAACAGCGGCCACACGGTGACCCGGTATTCCCTAAAAGTTAATGGTTTAAGTATATAAAGATGCATGTACGAGGATGCTTGTCACAGAACTGCTCATAGCGGTGGGGAAAAAAGTAAACAACCCAATAGGGGGTTCATTAAATAAATGATGGTAGTTTCCCTCCATAGAATCCTATGTAGCATTTATAAATAATGTAGTTCTATATTGGTTGACATGAAAAACCAGTCATGATATCATAAATGAAAAGGCACGTTACGACACATTTTACTATGTACTATGCATTTTACTATCCTTTTGTCTTATTTATCTACCTACATATGATTATATAAACACACACATGCACAGAAAAAAAATTCTGAAATCTAAAAATGTAAAAGGACATATACCAAAACACTAGTCATAGGATTACGGGCGATTTAAATATTCTTTAGACTCTCTTGTTTAGAGTTTGTTTTTTCACTGCGACTTATAATCAAAGCACAACAGGACTGCCCATGATTTTGCTTTAGGTCGCCAAGTCTGTCCTTTGAGGTTCTGTGAAAATCTTCCATAGTCTCTGACCAGCGATGGCTCTATCCTCTGCTGGAGCGCCTCCCTCCCACTGCCCCCGTTCCCGCCCCCCGCCCCCGGCCTCACGTCCCCAGTAAGGCAATGCCCACCAAACATGCTGGTTTACCACTTAGTTTTACTTTTCATTGAACACAGAAGTTTCCTCCTTATGGTAATATTTTAACAGTTGTAACGTTAACTGTCACTCTGTTTTGCCGAAGTTACGCACACACAGTCCCCTGAGCCCAGCTCCCACGTCCCAGGACGAAGATGCCAATGACTCTCACCTGTAGCGATTCCATCAAACAGGGACAGCACCCGGATAGGCTTCCTCTTCTCGGCTGGGACAGGTGGGTAAACCTTCGGAGGGTCCTAGGCAGCCAGCACAACAGGCCAGGTGAGTGTCCAGGAGTGTCCGACAGACCCGCACGCGGGGCTGGCCTCCCGGCCAACTGTGAGCGCTTGGGATTTCCAGACCTGCACAGCCCGCTCGCGGCTCAGGCCCCGCTGCCCGGCGCCCAGGCCCCCGACCAACCGAAGCGTTCTCGCTCTGGTGGAGTCTGCCCTCTGGCTTTGGCAGGCGGGGGGTGAGGAGAGCCACCCTCGGCCCAGCACTCACGAATTCCTGGTCGTGATTATTGGCGAAGAACATCTGGAGCCGAGAGGGCCAGTCTTCTCGCCGCCGCAGCAGCCCGTAGGTGCCCTTGTGCCCGCACATGTAGCAGTTCCAGGGGTCTTCCTTAATGGCTGCCTGCGCAGCTCCCGGCCCCACCAAGAGATCCACACATTCAACGCAAAAGCACCTGGAAGGAAGCCCAGTGGAGCGGAGGGGACTCTCACCCCAAGGCCAGTCCCGGATGGAGTGTGGCCGCAGTGCAGGGCAAAGAGGGAGGGCCACTACGCGCGGGGGCGGGGCCTCACCTGCAGCAATTGTTGTTCCCGCACATAAGCACCTCGCGCCCCCCACAGCAGATGGTGCAGTAGGACTGATAGCCGTCATCATCATACTGGTACGCGCACTCCAGGAAGCAGTTCTAGGGAGCACGGCGGAGGCTCAGAGACCACCGGGCAGCACCCAGGCCAGCCAGGGTGAAGGCAGGCTATGAACCCAGCCTCTGGGCTTTGGCCTTGAAACCTCGACACAGAGCCCTGGAGACACGACCCCGCTACCCATCCAGCCAGGGTCCAGCCCAGACCACAGATCTGGGAAGGGGACACCATGCCTCCCCACTGCAGTGGACAAACCAAGGAGAGGCGCGTGGGAAGGCCTGGAAAAGAAGGCCTGCACCGCCTTGTGGTCCCCCGCGCCCAGGGCACAGCGACCCACCCATCAGCCTGTCCACGCCCACTTCACACTAGCGACTGTGAGACACTGTGAGCCCACATCTGGGGACGTGAATGGGGCTTTAGAGGGGGCAGGGATCTCTCAGAGGAAAAGCAACAGCAAGTCAAACGCTTGAAACCCAAGGATCCATTTTATCAGGACTCTGCTTCAAGAGCAAACCTCGCAGCTATCCCAGGTGCCTGCGGCCCAGAGGCCAGGAGGTGTGGCCAGCCGGGGCCTCGCCTCTGCCGGGTGTGCCCCTACCTTGCAGTTTTGGCACATTCCTCCGATGAAAAGAGGGTGCTCCAGGGTGACGTTGAGGCTTCCACAAGAGATGCAAATGTCTGGGCAACAGAGGAAGCGGAGTGAGAGTCACAGAAGGGCCCCCTCCCCGCTTGGGCCGAAGCCCAGCTCCAGAAAAGCTATAACAAGGGGCGTGCTGGAGCAGCAGCCAGAAAAGAAGGCAGGAAAGAGTCTGGGAGGGGCCCCATGGAACAGGGAGGCAGCGCGGCCCCGATCTCAGGAGCCCACTCATCTCCCTGAGCAGCAATGCCGCCTTCCAGGAAAGGCATGGTACGAGGGTTAAGAACCCGCTGTGAGAACGGGGCCTGACCCTGTGTTACTCTGGAGATGTCCTTGGGCAGTCAACCCTTAAGGCCTAGGCCCCTGCCCTCATCCTTCCTGGCCCTGAGGGCCCCGAGCTGGACACACCGTCACTAGGCCAAGGGAGACAGATATGGGATGCACTAATGACCCCCAGATGAGAGAAGGTGAGGAAAGGTAAAAGGGCAAGTTCCGATCCAAGAGAGGCCACCCTTATCTGACCCACTGGAGTGTCCCAAACCCTAATGACCAGTTCCCACCACCGACAGGAAAGATCGTGGCACCGGAAGATAGATGTGTGTGTCAAGCAGGCTGGAGGTGGTGGGACATGAAGGACACATCCTGTCACCAAGTACTGATGTCCCACGGCATCGTACCTTCCTCGGTACCTATAGTACTCCGTGCCGGCCACCACCTTAGGGCCCAAGTGGAACAGACAATTGACTTCCCAGGGCCAAGGCCCAGCTGCCCCCTCAGGACTCACCCTCGATGTTCCGGCACTTCTGCCGCACCTCGTACACCAGCCGCTCTGCAGAGGGGAGGAGAGCCCGGCGTCAGAGGAGGCCTCGAGGGTCATGCCCATTCCTCTGAGCGCCGGCCTCACCCTGCCGCTCTCTCCAGAGCCAGGCCAACTACCTCTTGTGCGTTCATCAATTATCTCCTTGACCTTGGGCTTTTCAGTTGTGCTCTTTCGGGGCTTTTTGGCTGGTGGGGGCGGTGCATAGGCAGCTGCCTCGGGTTCAACCCACATGTCTGTGTAAACTTCTTTGTAGGGGTTCTTCTCCTCTGGATCGGGAAAGCACGTGATGAGGTCATGGTTACTGGCTGACGAGGAATCCCAGCTCTCTTCCCCTGGACCATCTACCTACAACGGGGTGTAGCAGGGTGCGGCCCGGTGCCCAGCTTGTTCCTAGCTCCCAAGTCTCTGGTGCCAGCAAGCCAAGGGGGAGCAGGTTGTTCAAAGTCCCAGAGTGGCACTGGCCCTACCTGGCCCCAGGGAGAGGGAGACGGCGGCCATTCCCACTGCGAAGCTTGATGGAGGAGGCCTTGACGGCCCTACCTAAGCACGGCTTTCCGAGCCTGGGTGCGGAGCTGCTGGTGCACCTGCGTTTACCTTCTGGGGGCTCCAGGCCCTTGGGGCCAGAGGGCTGGAACCCTCCCAGGGCCCATTCGATCATCTGTTTGTTCTGCACCTCCACAGCCTTGGCAGTGTCGCTCTCGTCGTTGTCGTGGCACATCGGGAACAGCTTCCCCGCTCGGCTGCTGGCCACCTGGAGGGCAACACGTGTGGGGAGAGTAGCGAAGGTGGGCTCAGGCAAGAGGTGGGAGAAGGTGCAGAAAGGAGACGAGTAAGGAGAAAAGGTGGCCCGAGGGCCTCCCAGGCAGACCCTCTGCCCAGGCCTAAGCCCTGTGCTCCAGCTTCCAGACCAAAAGTGGTCCCTGCCGTCTGAGCTCGCCCTGCTGAGTCCCTCGGAGGGGCACTGACCTGCAGTACTTCGTAGATGGCCTTGCGGTACATGGGCTGCTTGTTGTAGGTGGCCTGGTGGAAGGCGCTGCAGAAGGAGCTCAGCGGCATCAGCTTCTCCACACACACCTGAAGGCACAACCCGCCCTCGTTTGCTCCTCCTTCCACACTCACCGAGCACCCACCGCTTGCCTGGCGTGGTCAGGGGTGGGGGCATTAGGGCCCGGCCTCTGCCCTCAAGAGGACCGGATGCACCAGTAAATAATTACATGACGTAAAGGAGGAGTCCAAGCCCCGGTGTCGGGGAGGACCTGAATGCAGGTGGAAGGGAATTCTGGGTACAGGGTTCCTGGAAGACATCCGACTCTTGTTTGGAGTGCAACCTAATGATCTCAAGGGCTTCCTCCAATCACACATATACAGAGTGGAGACGAGCAGAGCCCCCTCCTACTATCCCAATTCCGAACCACGCCCCCAGCCAAAACCAGAGGCCCCGGGACCAAGACCCCTTCCTCCCCGCCCTCCCCTGCCAGGCTACCGCCAAACCCCATGACTCACCACTGAGAACTTGCCATCTCCGAACCACATGACCCAACGGGTGCCTTCTGCTGCTCGGCTCCGGCCCGTCATCCACCAAGACACAATGCGGCCTGGCCACCAGGAGAAGCCCCGCAGTTTCCCCCACACCAGCTCCCCAATGCCAAAGCCCCGGCCGTCCTGGAGCCCCAAGGAGCAGAAGTCATTACATGGTGGTCACGAGGCCCTGCCACCCTGATTCCCCCCAAAGCAACCCCAGCCCTGGGCATCTGAGGGTCAGGACAGCCAGGAGGGAGCGCCACCTGAATGGACAGAGCGAGACTGGAGAGACAAAGAGGCCTGGGGTCGGGTAGAGAGAGCAGGACGGGAGGAGCTGGACGAGGCGGGTGAAGCCAGCCGCTCACCTCGTACTCCGGCTCGTCATCGGCTGCCTTGGCGGCGTTCTTGTCCCCAGCGTCAGCCCCCACGGGCTCGGGCGTGGTGGCCACAGTGGGGGACGCAGGGTCGGTGGGCTGCTGCACAGCAGGAGGACTGGCCTCCTCCACCTTCTGAGACTCGGTGGACCCCTGGTTTTCTTCGACAGCATTCATTACGGCAATCACCTTGGCTTTCTTCTCAGCCTGGGGAAACAAGGAACAGAAGTTACCTTGAGCTGACACTCAAGGGGCTCTTCTCAACCTCTCCAGGGTCTGGAGACAGTGACAGAGGGTAAGGGGCTGGAGAGAGGAGTTCTTCCCTCATCAACTCAACCGGCTTGCCACGGAAAACAGAAAGACGTGAAGTTGAGAGGTGAGCTCAGATCACTAGGCTCTCAATGCCAGCCTTCTCTGCCTCCTAGGAGCTCTTCCTCCCTCGTCTAATCTTCCTCAATTGTCAGCATTATTAGTTGCCCATCTTCTGACACCGAGAGATCAATTCTATTCAGATACTAACCACGCCCCTTAGATGAGGCACAGACCTTGGCTCCAGCCTCTCCTATCTTACTCCCCGATCTAGAAACGGATCCTCTTGTCCTTTTCTCCATAGTTTTCCTGGGCAATCGACCCCTTCTCTTCCTGGTCTTGGCTTCCAGACCACAATTCTAGTTTCGTTGTGATACGTAACGAAGAAATCACTGTTTTGTGTTCAGAGCGCACGGTTCCTTCCCCATCTGCTCAACCACCACGAAAAGCCCCAGAAGAGCTTGCCTGCTCCCGTGCTCACACGCCATCCTGGAGTTCTCAGGATCACATCTAATGTATGTTGTCACCAGATTCTACGCCTTCTTTCTACGTGCACCTTTCAGATCCGTAAATACACTTATTCTTTCAACAACTATTTAGGGAGTCCACAGTATAGCCAGGCATCCTCTCTGCCATCCCACTGACAAATTAATCCAAACCCAAGTATTCTCCCAATTTGAACAGCCTCCATCCTTTCACCGTTCACCATCTCATGCTCATGTTTCAGGCTATGACCTGCATGCCCATTCCTTCTCAAAACCTGCTCCAGTATTCCCATCACCCTGCAGAGGAGAATGAAATGCCTGATACTTAGCTCTGAGGGCCATTCAACCTAATCTCACCCATCTCACCCCAACGGCTGAATCTAGGACACGTGGCCCTCAAGCTTCAAGGCTCTGCACCCGTTTTCACCACACCAGATTCAAAGGGAAAAAAATCCCACCTTCAACATGAAGCTTTCCCTGAGAGCTTAGAGCTGTGACTACAAACCCACCCTCAAGATTACCTGGAGTATAAGACCTCTAAGCTGGAAGTCACAGCATTTATATTCCTGTCTTAGCCTTGCAACTAATTAACAGCCGACTTTGGAGCAGTCCCTTGAGTTGCTCCACCTAAAAAGGAGTTTGAACGGAAGGATTTCTGTTAACCTTTTCTGACTGGTTGAAGAAGCTGACGTATGTATGTACCAAGAATTCCAAGGCCTCTTCACAGCCTGTCAATGGACCCCCAGGTCCCAGGTTAAGAACAGCTCAATGGTCTACTGTCTCTTAGATTCGTTTTATTTTGATCTATCTTCAAGTCTTTGCCTCCTGGCCACAGACCAAATCTGCTTCTTGTGGCAATTCCTAAAACACGAGGATGGAAGTCTTAGCTCTTTCTCTGACTCAACAAATTCTAAAATGGGATAAAGCATCCTTTGCCCCCAGCCCACAAACAGCTGGGAGAGAGAGCTCCGAGGTGGGGTGAGGGTGGAAGAACGCAGAGGACCTGCTCCTCCCTCCCAAGCCCCACCCTCACCTGGGGGATTCTGCCCCACCCCTTCCTAAAATCTACCTCCTCCTCTCCCACAAGGTGTGCCTAGGTGTGCACTCAAGCCTGTGGTGAGAGAGGTTCTCTCCCAGAATTGTCAGCTGTGGCTGCGCTATCCCAGGGCCAGATCTGCTCAGATAAATGCCCTGCCTAGCAGTCTCTGCTCCCTTCCCTCCACCATGCCTCCGTGAACTTCAGGCACGGCCGCTGACCTGGACCAGGGTGCTGCCTTGGGTGGAAGGCAGCACCATTCTGCCAAAGGACCCAGTTTCCAGGGGCGACGGGCCCCCTCAGCCAGAACAAGGTGCGCAGGTGGCAGGAGGCGGCAGGGGGAAAGGATCCCAGCAAGCAGCGCTGGGGGGGGGGGCCGGGGCACACGCGTCGGGCTCCCCCCGGCCTCCCCCAGTCTAGAAGGCAGTCGTGCCTGACACCACCCTCCTCACTCCCCCTCAGCCCCTTTGTCTCTCTTCTCAACCCCTCCACAGTGAGTTCCTGAACATTATTCTTCCCCCACAACTTCCCCCAGCTTGTCAGACGGTGCTGCTGACGGCTGTTAAGCGCCCCCAACCCAGTAGGTGCAGGAGAACACGCACCCAGCATGGTTTGGCAGGCAGGGGAGGAAGGGGCCTCCATCGGGACAAGGCCAGAAGGGGTGGGGGAAGGAAGAAGGGGGGTGGGTTAGCAGCAGGAGGCAAGAGGAAAGGGGAAGAAGGGGCGAGAGGGTGGCTGGGTGGGGGAGGGGCTCATTAGAATAGACTTGCCTAGGGCAGTGCGGGAGGCCCCTTTTCCATGTTCATGCCAACCCCCCGGACAATAGGAGAAATAAGGGTTAACTCTGGGCTGGGGCTTTTGGGCTAAAGGCTCCCCCCCACCTCAGTTCAGAAGGTCCTACCCCAGAGTAGCCAAGAGACTGGGCAGGATCAGGAAGACACCACACCAGCCCCACTACGGCGGCTCGAGGAGGCCACTTGGCCTGGAGTTTGTTCTGCCTGGAGAGCCACTGGTAACTCCACTCTGGTGGAGGCATGGCCTCCCCATCCAGTCCCATCTCCTCGGGCAGCTGTCCCGCCTCCACCTCTCTCTGCGACTCAGGCTGCTTCCCATTCCAAAGGTCAGAGGTCCAGGGACCCACGCGGACCCCGGGCTGTCCCAGGTGCCTCTCCCATCACAGGCCGGCGTCAGGCCACCCCACAGCCCCCTGTCAGGGTCACACTGCTCCCTCCCACCCTGACACCACTTCTTTCTGGCGGCCTGACGGTGGCTCCCAGGAACAGGCAGGAGAGGAAACTGTCCCTCTCAAGAGGCCACAAGCTTGGCACGGCCTGAGGACGGCGTGGTCCACCAGCCAGGAACACAGGTCAGCAAGGAAATGCCAACAACCCATCTGCCAGCCAGCTCAGCAAAACCGCCGCTGCTAGCCCAACTCCACGGGCCGGGGCCTGCCCCCAGCCTTCGCTGACCACTGCCCCAGGCTCACAACAGGCCTGCTCTTGCTGGCCCCTGAGCCGCCAGGTCCCACCTGAGCGCAGGAAGGAGTGGGGCTTGGGGCTCCTGAGGAGGAAGTGGGTGGGACAGCAGTAACTCAGCATCTCCAGAACTCAGGCCAGGCAGGGGAGCCAGCTCCTGCGGGCCGGGGAGGCAGACTTGACTCTTCTCAAGCCCAGAGGGCTGCAGGCCCAGAGATCCTCCCACCGGCCCCGGCCGCCTCCCCGCCCCCAGTTTCCCCAGGGCTCCATCCAGGAACCTACCCATAAGGCCAGGTGCAGCCCCTCTGTGGTCCGGCTCAGGTGTGAGCCCCAGCCCTGAAGCTCTGTAAGTAGCTGCCCGTCTGGGGGGAGGGGAAGGGGGCGATGGGGCTGGGGGGCGGAGGGGGCCAGAGAGAGGGGGAGGGGGAGGTGGGGGGGAGGGATTGAACATTTTCTTTGTCTAGAACTCCAGGTCACGTGGGCCCCGCTGGAGTGCCTGGTTGGCTGCGAGCGGGCCGGGGGAGGGGGCCGGCTCTCAGACGCTGGCAGTGGGCCAGCCCCTCTCCTTCGGTCCGAGGGGCGCGGGCCGGCGCTGGGGCCTGGGGGCGCGGCTGGGCCTCCGCCCGTTCCCAGGGCCCCGCCCAGGCCAGGCTGGAGGCGGTGCCCGCCCCCTCCAACCGGCCAGCCTTCCCCGCCCCCTCTCCTCCAACTCCGCCAGAGCCCGGCGCGGAGCCGGGGGGCGAGGCCGGGAGCCCGCGGGCCGCGCGGGGAGGGAAGGAGGAGAACCGGGAGGGAAGGGGCTGCCCTCCAGCTGCGGAGGTAAGGTGCGAGCGCCCAGAGAACCAGGAGCGCAGGCAAAAGGAGAGAGGAGCTTTCGGGCCGTCTGGGAGAGACAGGAGAAAGTTGTTAAAAGTGAGTCTCAGCAGCACAACCAAAAAAAAAAAAAAGGAAAAGCTTACAGATGAGCGAAGAGGCCCAGGAAACTGTAGGAAAACTCAAAGCACACAGAGATGGGCAGAAAGCGCCCGTACAGAACTGGGTGCGCTCCAGAACGGGAACTGGGAGCGTTGCCGGGGAGGGGGGGGGGTCTCCTCTGCCTTAAACGGCGTGGCGTGAAGAGGAGTTCAGGCTTTGAAAATCACTTCCTGGCCAAGTCCCTGGGTCCCCTAGGTCACTCTGGGTCAGCCTTGGATGTCTCATTTTCCTGTTTGCAAGGTGCGGGGTTGGGGGGTGGGGAGGAGGAGTTCAAAAGTACAGCAATTCCTTCATTCCCAGGCACATACATCTGCTGCTCAAGACTGCACTCCTTCGGAGCCTCCAGGTGCAGCTGCAACCATTTCAAGTTCCCTCCTCCAGAGCAGAGGCCCCGCCCCCCAAGAAGAATATATATATGTGTGTGTATATATATGTATATATATATACATACATACATACATATACTCTCTCACTCTCTCTCTCTCTCTCTCTCTCCCCCCCTCTCCCTCTCCCCCTCTCTCTCCCTCCCTCCCTCTCCCTCCCGACATCAAAGAAGCAGACACTGTTGGCCCTGCCCTCAAGGAGCTGACAAATTCAACTAGACTTGGAGAGATTGGAAAAGATCGTTGAAAAGCATCTATAAAGAGAACTACACCACAAATACCAACCACCCTGATGGGCCAGGATGGCTTGGAAGCCAAACAAAAATAAGTAGTATCAATGATAAATGAGGTTAAGGAGGTCAGTGTAGAGCAGAGGCTGAACCTGGAGGATGAATCAGATTTGGAATGAGGCTGGATAGGGAGGAAATAAAAGATGTTAGGCTGGATAGGGAGGAAAACACTTGCCCACCTTCACCTCCCGCCCCACAATACAACTAAAGCTAAGGGGTGCGGAGAGAGATGTTGATGGATATATCCTATCGCA